TGTAGAGTGTGAAGGAAAGAGGAGTCAGATTACAGATGGAACAAGTTGATCTTTCTTCTCCTCTTGTCAAATACCTTCAATGGCAATCCATTGTCTAAAATCTTAGACTGGTATTCAAGTGCCTGCCTGCTTTAGTCCCAACATAAAAACTCCCCCATAGCCCCCAAATGTTATTTCCTAATGCTTTCATCTTTTCATGTTTTCCTTATGTCCCAAAGCCTTTAATAATGACAAGGTGATGATGATGAACTAACACAAATACAAATTATTATTTTTTTTAGGAATTTATTATATTCCTGGTAGTTTTAGGCTCTTAAATTCTTAAATCCTATGAACAAATTATAAACAGATGTTACCATCACATTTTAGATACAAAAACATTAAGAGATAATAGTTAAATTAGCATACAAAGCCAGCTGACTTTGACGCTCAAGATAAGACTTTTTCTTTCACACCATGCTCTTCAGGCTGCACACTGCCTGGAGTGCTCTCCCCTTTACATGTATGGTCTAGTTCATGTGTCACCTTTTCTCTAAAAAGTCGCCTTATTCTCTCAGTCAAAATTAGGTTTTATTCCTCTAAATGAAATTGTTAAAATAAATCATTTTCACCTATTTCTCTGCACCTAATATTTCTTCTTCTATTATTAATAATAATGACCATAATAGTTAATATTTATTAAATAATTACTACGTGCTATTTTTAATATATACACACACATACACACTATCATATTACCTTACTTTATTAACTATGCTTGATATTCCAAAACTTTTAATTTAGAATGCTTAGAGCATTCAGAAGAAAAGAAAAGTTTAATTAAATGGAGGAAAAAACCCACCCTTTAATTTATTCTATATGTAAAAATTAAGAAAGAATATTTGTAAATGGGATTCCCTGGTGGCTCAGATGACAAAGAATCTGCCTGCAAGGCGGAAAGACCCAGGTTTGATCCCTGGGTAGGGAAGATACCCTGGAGAAGGGAATGGCTACCCACTCTAGTATTCTTGCCTGGAGAATTCCATGGAAAGAGGAGCCTGGCAAACTAAAGTCCATGGGATAGCAAAGAACTGGAGATGACTGAGCAATCAACACTTCACTTTTCACTTGCAGGATGCAAAGATACACTAAAGTGTAAAAAGGTCTGGCCATATAAACTGAGGCAGATATAGCACCAAACTACAAAAAAGCTTAATAAGATGGGGGTCCAAAAGTTTTTTTGGTCAAAAAATAGAGGACTTTTACAGACTTTTTAGTTGGAAATAACTTAAGTGTACATAAGATTTGCAAGAGTAGAAACATCATTTGCCCAGATTTACCTAACTCACAAAGTCACCCTTTTGCCCACATGTTCATGAGTGAGAAATAAAGTATTCTTGCAAGCCACTGATATTTTGAGGTTGCTGCTACCAAGATTTTGCATACTCTCAATCTCTCACATATGTACGTTTGTATACACACACATACGTAAATATGTACACACATATTCTATTCAAGGGTTCTTTATCCCTACAAACTTCAGGATTTCTTAAGTAAAAGGATATTCTCTTACACAACCATAGTACAGCTATCAGATTTAAGAAATTAACATTGAGCTGATACTATTATCTAATCGGTCATCTATATTCCAATTTTGTTAATTGACTCAATAACATCCTTTGTAGTGTTTCCCCTGTTCAAGTGTAGGATCTAGCCTAGGGTCAGGTATTTTATTTAGTTCCATGTCTCTTTACCCTCTTTAATCTGGAACCTTCCCCGCCACCTCCTCAGCTCCTTCTTCCCTCCCGTCATCCTTTCTTCATTTTCCTTTCTTTCTCTTTCTTCCTGTCCCTCTCCCTCACCCCTCGCTCTCTACCTTGTCCTTTCCTTTCTCTCTTTGGTCCTTCTTTCTTTCTTTTCATTCTTTTATTTTTTATGGCATTCACATTTCTAAAGAATATAACACCTATACACACACAGACACATACACTTTTAAAAATAAATAAAACTGTCCTCATTTGGGGCTTGACTGATGCTTCCTCATGGCCAGGTTCAGGTTTATACATTCTCAGCCATAATACTACGTAAGTGATGGTGTATCCTTTCAAGGTTTCACATTTGAAGTCACACATATCCATCTGCTTTTCACTGGTGATATCCATTTTGTACCAGTTTAGGAGTTGTCTGATTTCACTATCATATAATTATTATTTTCCCCTTGCAATTAATAAGCAGTTTATAGACAGTCACTTTAAAGCCATATAAATATGTGAATATTCTGCTTGTCATAAAAAAATTCCCCCTAGATTAAGCATTTTATGATTCTAGTCTGATCAGTCATTACTGAAACATGCAAAATATTGATTTCCCAAATCCAGCAGCTACTCTGATAACTGTTGTTGCCAGTCAGCACTCAACAATCTTTAATGAGCTAGAGCCCTCAGCTCTCCCCGTCAATTAATTCACTTCTTCACTCATGATATGGACTCATGAATCACTTATTTTCATGGTTAGTTAGATCATCACTATATTTAATTATTTTGGTGCTCAACTACTTTCAGACTGGGCAGTGGAAAGTGCATCAAGCTAGTTCCTTAAGACATGCTCCCAAAATTTTGAGGATTTCCTTATTTTCTAGCATAAGATGTTTTAAGCTCCTTTTGTACTTACCCACCCTCAGTCCTGAAATCAGTTATTTCTCCAAGAAGCCTGTATTCTTATTAGTGGGGAATAGCTTCTGGGTACTGGGATATGCTAGGTGGTCATTGCTGTTGGGATATCTGATTCTTGGTTCTTTCAGCTGTTAGAGCTAGAAATATATATATATATATATATATACACACACATATATACACACACACACATACATATAAACTGCACAGACATATATATGGGCACGTATATATTCATATTCACATAGATACATATATATTTCAGAAATGATGCATTCACAATGATACCTCCAAATCTAGTCCATTCAAAGAATTCTTTCTTGACTTCCTAAATTCTATTTTGTATGTTTTTGCTTTTTCACAGAGATTCTGGCTCTCAACAACAATCAAAACATTTACAGAGACCTATATTACATCTTGGGCTTCCCAGGTGGAACTAGTGGTAAAGAACCTGCCTGCCAATGAAGGAGACATAATATTCTTGATTTACACATTCTTTCCTTTAGTTTCATGAAAATATTGCTCCACAAATGCCTTACTTTGTATGTCACATCAGGAAGGCTGATGTTGGTCTAACTCTATTACATTTGTAAGTTATTTGATCTTTTCATTTGGAGGCACTATGCATTTCCCCCCCCTCTATCTTTAAAGCCTGCTAGGATATATCCTAAATTGATCTTTCCCCACTACCCAATAATAGTTTCAGGTCATCTTTTATTTCTGAAAAGTTTTCTTGGATTATAGTTCAAAATATTAGTGCTGTTCAGTTGTTTTGATTTACTTTCTCATGAAAATCCTTTACTTACTTCATTCTTATTTTTCTGGTTTTCTTTGATGCCTTTTCATTTGATTATAGTCTTCCTTGGGACACCTATAATATAGTTTTCATTTCTATATCATTTTGTCTTTTTCTTTTCTTTCTTTCCTAGGTTTTATCAACTCTCATTTCATTTCTTTTTTTTGTCATTTTCTAAGTCTTTGTTTTTAATTCCTTATTTTGAGTTATTCTGTGTTACAGTTTTAAGGTTGAATTGTTTTGGGGTATTTTCATCAGGGAGAAAGTTTTAATTCATATTGTCTGATATTTACAGTTGTTTTGTAATGACAGGGACAGATTTTAAAATTTTTTTTCCAATTCCTTTTTCTTTTACAGGAAGAGTTCTTAGTTCAACAGCACCCTCTTCTGTGCAATTTCTTTTTATGGATCATGTTGTTGATAGTCACGGTGGAGGGTAGATGGAGGAGGCTTGGTATGTCTTGTTTCTTTTTCATTTCTGCAAGATCCTTAATTCCCCCTCTTATTGCCTTCTCTCTCATCCTTTCTCAGCCTCCAAGGGACACCACCCCTTCTCTGCTTATGTGATTCCAGACGCTGCTGCTCCTGCTCACACATACTCCCCAAGCTCTGAGGACCGCCAAGTCCCGGCCACTGTTCGCTGTGCTGTCATTGATAGCTGCATTTTTCTCTCCAGGGGTGATTTCACTTGCAGTACTTTGTCTAATTGCTCTGCTCTCCTTACTCTTTTCAGAGTTTATAAGCCTCCCCTGCTCTCAAGTTTCAGTGGCAGGCAAGCTGCAACAGTTTGTTGGAATTTTAAACTCTTATTTATATGCACCTTGAAGGTTCTGGTGCTCTATCCAATAGCCATAATTAAGGTATAGTTCCTGGGAATTCTCTGGCAGTTCAGTGGTTAGGACTCAGTGCTTTACAGCTCTGGGCCCAGTTTCAATTCCCGGTCAAGGAACTAAGATCCCAGAAGCCGTGCATGATGTATCCAAAAAAAACGGTGTGGGTTCCTGTACGGCTTTATGTGCTCTGTAATGCTGTGTTTTCTGGGAGGAAAATATTGGGGAGGTTCAAAATCAGGTGACTGCCACTGATCTATAGCAATGTCCTCTTAATTTTCTATTCTTATTAACATTTTATTTGTTACTTGTATCTCTATTTCATGATACGTTGCATTTGTTTTGCTGTGTTACTTAAAATTCTTTGAAGAATGATAGAGTGAAAATAAATTTTTACTTTTTACTACTAAAAAAATATTAAAAGACGCTCTGCCTTGGAAGCTTTCCCCCTCCCTTGATTTGCTTTTAGGTTTAATAAAATGAATATGAATAACAAAAGAAAAGAAAAAGGAAAAATAGAAGAGAAAGAAAAAAAGAGTAGAAAAGCAATGAGACTGATCATTTCAGTCCATAGATACCCAACTCTGAAAGCAGCAGTACACTATACTATACTGTTTTTATCTGTAGGCTCTCAGATATTTTACAGCATCAATGTACTGCAACTATATCTCATTTGTTTACACACACATTCGCAAGACACATATAAACAATATATACACTTACTTGTTTGACATTCTGGAGTTCTTCTGTCAATTGCTTCCTCTGCCTTTCCGATTCAAATAATTTTTCCTATATTAAAAACCACTGAATTAACAACTTGTTAAGAAGGTATCAATGAGCATGATTTTCAGGACTTCATTTCAAGGCATATAAATTCCTCAAACATCCAGCCTCTAGAATCTGGAAATGTAGCTCCCAGTGACTTTTCTGCCTTATACATACCAGTTAAAAGTAATTAGCTCTTTACAGTATAATTGGGATGTAAACATATTTTCTGTTACTATAATTAGTCACATTTTTTTTTCCTGTGCCAGGCGGCATGTAGGATCTTCATTTCCCAACCAGAAATTGAATTCAGGCTACAGCAGTGAAAGCCTGGACTCCTCTAACTACTAGGCCACCAGGAAACACCTTACTAGCCACTTTTTAAAAAACCTAAAAACCTGAGGTCCAAAATAAGTCAATCAGGATAAAAATGTATAAATGTCATATAAATGCTAGGTAATAGTTATCAGTGTCAAAGAGGTTGCAAATTGAAGAGCATGATTATTATAACTTAGGAGTCCCTCTTACTGTATGTATGAAAGAGGATTATGAAACTGAGTTGAACATAATGTTCCCAATTTAGCTAATTTTTATAAGATTATCCATAAAAATGAACATATAACTAGTGTAATCTAAATATGAAAGAATAGTTACTAAGGTGGAATAACATTGGCATCCCAAACAAATATTAAAATCTTTGAACTTAAAATTAAGGATATTGAGAATAGCACCCTAAAACATTCAATTTTGTTATGTTATAAATAAATCCACATTTTATTGATCAAATCAGAGATACTACCAGTACTTTAAGAGCCATTTTACTATAAACCTGACCAGAGGAATTGCTACAAGAAGCAATCTAAAAAAAAAAAAAAAAAAAGAAGCAATCTACTTTCTGCTATACTTGAGCTCATTTTTTGAAATGAAGGTACAGGAAGATGAATATAATATAGCAATCTAATGAATCTGCCACAGAACAAGAGCCAAGAAACTTCTGGCTCCTAGGCTTTTATGCTCTGGTAAGTCACCTTCACTCTTTGTGTCCTAGTTTTTTGCATCTGTAAATGGAAAATATATCTATTTTCATTCAACTTTGCAAAGCAGTAGCAATGTGAACTCTGTGAAAAGGCTTTAAGTTAAATAAAGCCCACGGAACCTTAAAAATCATTCTTGCAGAATAAAAATTAGCCATTGGCATCAAATTTGCTTGGTTCCATTTTTATCTGTACCTCAAATCAGACATAATAAACAGAGATGTCACAGGATAATGGCAAGTGATGAGAGACATCTACACATTCTGTGAAATTCATTTAACAACCTCCACTTTTTGTGTGTATAAAACAAGTAGAAAAACTCAAAGTACAAAGATTATCTCAAACAAAACATTTATTGCTGTGAAGTTTCTTCTGTACTTAAACAAATGGTTCTCAGCCAATAGATAGGTTTTCAGGTAAAGGAAATTATATAGAATTTATTTTACCTGTGATTTCAGGTTTTGTCACAGTAGGATATGTTCAGTTACATCTCGTAAATTTTAAATACAAATCCTGAATTATTCAATAGTTCCTCCGGAAAGCTTTGTTTAAATATTAAATGAATATATCTTTAAATTAAAATTCTAATTATTACCACTGATATTCCAGTAAAAAACAAAAATATATCACTAAATTTAACAATGATAAACACTGGGGCTTCCGTGGTAGCTCAGACAGTAAATAATCTGAGAGTGCAGAAGACTCAGGTTTGATCCCTGGATCAGAAAGATCCCTTGGAGTAAGGAATGTCAACCCACTTTGTTCTTGCCTGGAGAATTCCACAGACAGAGAAGCTTGGCAAGCTACAGTCACAAAGAGTCAGACATGATCAAGAATTAAGATGAAAAATATAAATATAGCTTTAATAATAAATTGACAGTAGTTTTTTCATATTCTCTTAAAAAACATGTGCAGTGTTGGTTATACTGGTAAGATAGCATTTTTATATAATTTACTCTTTGTAAGTCATTGAATCTTATGTTTCATCAGAATTTTCTGAGGCTCTCAGATCTTTTTCATTTCATCATAGGGAACTGGTTAAATAATCTAGAACAGAACCTTTGGAGGATAGGAGAGGCACTGAAAAGAATTAGGTAGATTCATTTATATTAATCTGAAAAGTTACCCAAGATATAATGCTAATAACAAAGAGAAAAAAAGAAGACAAGTTGAAAAAAAGTGTATAATACAAGAAACAATTCTGTGAAAGTTAAAGAAGCATGTATACACATATTTTTTAGCATATGCTTGGGTACACAGAGAAAGTCTCTGAAAGGATAAATAAGATATGTTAAACAATAGCTTCCTCTAGAGGTCAGAATTCAAAAAATAAGGTGACAAGGAAATATCTTTCTTTTTTTAATTTGGTGTAAAGATTTTGCCTCAATAAAAATGAAACAAATAACAGAATTTCACTTATTTAAAAAACTAATTAAAAATAATTTGGTGGCTCAGTGGTAAAGAACCTGCCTGCCAATGCAGGGGACGCAAGCCTTCAGAACGTGACCTGGGAAGAGTCCTACATGCCACGGAGAAACAAAGCCTGAGCACAAATTTCCTACTGCACCTGTCTAAACCTGTGCTCTAGAAACTGGGCACCACAGCTACTGAATCCCGCTTGCCCTGGAGCCCGCGCTCTGCAGCAGTCCAAGTCACCACAATGAAAGGCCGTGTCCCGCAACCAGAGAGGAGCCCCGGCTCTCTGCAATTAGAGGAAAGCCTGTGCCGCAGTGAAGACCCACACAGCCAAAAATAAACACAGAAAAAAATTTAAATATGTTCCTATCATGAGTGAGTGGAAAACAAGCAGTTATACTGTTTTTCTTGAAGACCTGAAAAATATAATGGCTTTCCATAAAAATTATGATGCAAATTTAATATTCTAAACACAAAATTAAAACATATATAGAGATCTAAAATCTTACAGTATATTTGGGAAATACATTGTGTTTTTATTTCCTTTAAATCTCAATGCATTAAATTTCATATTATGTTAGCAAAACAAGATGTCCCTGAAGCATTCCCATGAACATAGGAAAAAATGTATTTTTCAGTGAACATCTGAGGACCTAAAATTGTCATGGCTTGCTTCACTGGCTCTTAATCCTTCCCACTAATGTGAGGAAAAAAAAGGGTTAGAAGTAGTCAGATTAGAAGGTATGATTACAAACCACACTGTTCACACCAAATCTGTGAATATAAATAATGAGTATGCGAGCTCAAAATTTACTCTCTAAAGGTCACACCTAACACATAGACCCATCGCAAAACTCATTACTGGACACTCCATTGCACTCCAGAGAGAAGAAATCCAATTCCATGCACCAGAACGCTGACACAAGCTTCCCTAACCAGGAAACCTTGACAAACCAATCGTCCAACCCCACCCACTGGGTGAAACCTCCACAATAAAAA